ACCCCTATTAAACACCATACAATAAATATAAAAGTCATTTATAATAGAGAACTTAAAAAAAATAATAATTACACTTCAAAAAATTAAAAATACTTTATATTTTTTTAACATTTTTAATGGAGGGAGTATATATGAAGGTTTAGTTTAATTATGACTAATTTAAAATAATTTAATTGTAAGAAAATGTGGAAGAAAATGAAGTAACATTACCTGGTTTGCTTTCGTCGTCTCTCCAGTTGTGTAGTATCGTCGAACAAGAAGACCCACAGCAACAAGCATGAAGATGATCAGAGTAGAAATCGACAACAGATTCGACAGAATCTCAAGCTCCGTGAAGAAAGCTATCACCGCCGACACTGCAAGCATCGTGATCGTCGCATTCACCGGCGTCCCCAGCTTGGCGTCCACGTGAGCGAACCACGGCGGTATCATGTGGGTCCGAGCTATATGCTCAAGTCCAGTACCTAGCTGGCCGACGGCGCTTACCAGTATCACCGTCGTCATACCCTTCAACGCCCCGATGGCCACTAAGTATTTCGCCCAATCCATCCCCACCGCGCTGAAGGCGACGGAGAAGGGTGCGTTTACATCAATCATTTCGGTGTAGTGTTGCATGAGGCAGAGGGTTATTGCTAGCAAGCAGTAAGCTCCGGTGGTTATCACCATGGAGCCGACGAGTCCGATGGGGATGTCTCTGGCCGGGTCCTTGGTCTCTTCGGCCATGGTGGACACGGCGTCGAAGCCGACGTAGGCGAAGAAGAGGACGGCGGAGGCGACGAAGATGCCACGTGGTCCGTAGGGGACGAAGGGTTGGAAGTTGCGAGGGTTGGCTTTGATGAGACCGGCGATGATGATGAAGATGATGATGGCAACGTGGATGACGGAGGCGACGTAGTTGAAACGAGAGGAAGCTTTGGTGCTGAAGACGGCAAGGATGCAGATGATGACTAGAACCACGACGGCGATGGGATCCAGGTGGCCATAGCTCGGGTTCATGCCGGGAACGATTATGCGAAAGTCGTCGGAGCCTCTGTTGCAGAGGGTGGCGAAGTAGGAGGTCCATGACCGGGACACGGCGGCGCAGCTGACTGTGTACTCGAGAAGTATGTTTCCGGCAGCTATGAAGGCGATAAAGTCGCCTAACTCTACCCTTAAGTAGGCAAATGACCCGCCTGAGAAAACAAAGAAGTACATTACTGAACACTGAACCTGTTCTTCAAAGAAATAAATGAACAGATTGGGTTCTTTACTTCGTTCTTTGCTTTCTGGATTTCAAGCTAAGTTGGATTTAATTAAATAAACTAAGTATTAATATTTTAAGAAACAATGACATGCTTCAAATTTGAAAAATGACAAATAAATATAAACGACCCTTAATTTATTAGTTCAAAAATAAACATGCATAACTAAATTAAGCCACTTTTACGAAAATAGTCATAAAAACGAGTTGAGATCGTAAATTATCTAATACTTCAAGTGTGCTTCTATATGCAAAGCAAAAGTAAAGATTGGTTCAGTTTATAAGATTTGATGTATAATAATTGATGAGTTCAAATTTTACTGCCAAATACTTCGTTGATAGAAGAAGATCGGTAAATACCTCTATGATTATTTCCCTGAAGGAGCTTTTAACTGATTACCTAAACTTTTTTTGCAAAATAAAAATTTACTATATGAAAAAGTATTTTTAAAAAATTGAAATGGAAAATGCATATATATATATATATGTATATATATATGTAGTTCTCAAGAAAATGGAATAGATATATTAATAATTTCCTTTTTAAAAACAAATACTTTTTTTTATCTACCAATGGCATAATTTATGTACATATTCAGTGCACACAATCCCTGCTATTCTCTAGGTAAAATAACTTTTTTGATTTTATATTAAAGACATCAAATCAAATTATCATAAATTTAAAAACTCACCCTTCAATCAAACCTCACTTTTTTTGTTCATGTCTCTGCCTTGTTGGCTTATGAGTTATGACTTTTAGTTGCAGCTTTTGCTCTCTCTGTTATTGAACTCTGTATTATCTATTTCTTAACGAAGTCTTCTCTACTGGTCAAAAAAAAAAAAAAATCAAACCTCACTATTGAGGTTGATAGTGAAATTTCTCCCGCACACCCAGTCTGACCCAGACGCAAATGTTTGAATAGCTTGCATTATTATGTAGGATTTTATTTTCCCTTGTTATAAAAAAATTAATTATAAATTTATAATCAATAATGAAAAATTTACAAACCTATCTCTCTATTTTAATTTGAAAGTATTGTTAGTTATATTCTAAGTCACATCCTAAAATAGGATAAAGTTAATTAATTATTTGAAAATTTGTGTAAAGAAAATTAACCACTAACACTATCACGTAGTAATTGGAATCAGTTGAACGAATCACCTGCAACGGGAATTTCGATCGCAAACTCGGTGTAACAGAAGACGGAAAGCAAGGCGGAGACGCCGGAGACGGCATAAGAGATCACAACCGCCGGCCCGGCCTTCTCCCTGGCTTCAAGTCCAGTCAGCACGAATATTCCGGCTCCGATGACGGCTCCGACGCCGAACCATATGAGGTCCCACCAGTTGAGCGTCTTCTTCATCTCGCCCTGACTGCGAGACTTCATCTCGACGAGCTCCGTTTGATCCATGGAGCGGGTCACGACCCGATCCTTGAACCGAAAGGGAGTATCCAAAAGCGCCCTCCCGTAGTTGCTCCAGCTCCGAAACGACTCCTCAGGGAGGAAGTCGTTTTTGCGATACGTACACCCCTCTCCTCCGTAGTTCACTGTCGCCGCCGACGACGTCGTTGCCATCACTTTCCATTTTGCTGCTGCACCTCACAGAATGGATCGTCGTTCAGATGAAAAAAATGGCACTGTGATTGCAATGCTGTAGAATAAAACTATTTAAGGTAACAATAAATCCAAAGAGCGATATTCTCTAACAAAACTTTTTTTAAAAAATGTTTAACAATTATTAATTGGGATTGTTGGAGCAAATTATTGATTTTTTTTAAAAAAATTAGATCAAAGATCCTTTAACATTACAAAGTGTTTTTCCCCCGTACTTTACTCTAACATTTAGATTTATTACAAAAAAAAAATATATATGAATTTTTAAATATTAGCAAAAAAAATTCTAATCAAATATTGGTTTATTGATTTTATTTTTTTAAAAATAAAAATGACTAGCATAAAAAAATTATTTGAATCTAATAATATTATGATTAGAAGATTGAAAAAAATATTTTATAAAATTAAAGCACTCAACTGAAGTTTTATAAAATTTGAGGTTTAAAGTAGATTTTGACTTCAAAAATATACTACATACTCCCTCCCTCTGTTCAAAATGTATGATATTTTTAATCAATTTTATATTTATTGTAAGGTGTTTAATAGAAATAAATATAAAAAAATAGGGTTAGTTAAAAAGTTATTGGGGGATGAGATTCAGTTAAAAATGCCTTATATTTTTAACGAAGGAGAATCTAATTTTGATTGAATTTTTGAAATTATATATAGTTGTATGAGATGCCGGTAGTTAAAATATATGGAATATAAACGCACATATATCTAGTAGGTATATGATACAATACACAACTGTACTTCATGATACACATTACATCATTCTACTCTTTCTATTATGATTTTGTTTTTATTTTCAACAAAAGATATCTATATATTACTTAAAAACTTAAAAAGGCAAAGAGCTAAATACTTTGGTTGATTGTTTTAAATATTTTTAGATTATCTTTATATTATTTTAGAAATATTTAATTAAAACTCAAGATAATTATTCATAGATCTACGAATTTTAAAATTGTGATAATTGAAACATCCATCCACCAAATCATGTTGTATCATATCACGTATCCATATAAGCGTTTCTTAGATTGCAAATATCCGTTTAAGGTAAGGATAAATCCAAATACTGATATTCTCTTAAAAAATTTTTTTAAAAAAATTCTAAAAATATTAATTGTAATTGCTGGAATTATAATAAATTATTTTTAATGTTATTAAAATTTTAAAATTTATTTATTTTAATTTGATTGGACAAGAGTATATTACATATATAAAGATAAGTATATAAGCCTTTTCATTTAAAAAAAAATAAAATCATATAGTTAATTTATTGATTTCCAATCAATCTAAGGAAGTACATTTTTTATAAATTATTTATACTATAATAAAATCTTTTAATCAATATTATTAACATTTTAAAATTTATTTGACTAGATAAAAATATATTTAATTTATATGCTTAAATATATAAGTCTTCATCTTTTCAAATTATATATAATTATGTATAGCACTTGCCACTCCTATAACATAAAACCAATGTTTTGAAAGGCGGACATGATGTTAAACAAGAAAAGTTAATGGTTCTTGATTCCTATGGTTCTACCAGTAGTCAAATTGATAATATAATAATAAAATAAAATAAAATAAAAAATAATATTTAATGCATATATAAAATACATATAAGAAACAAATCTACATTTGTATATCCAATTGTTAATAAAATATTAAAATAACATAATATGGTTATAAGTTAATAAAATTATAAATTATCATTTTATAACTTGTTAAATTGTTTAAATTAGATTTGAGTACAATATCTACATTTACCCCTATAGTTGTCAAAATCTTTATATATATATACATATATATATATAAGATCTTAAATTATATTATATACACATAAATTGTTCAAAAATGAAATTGGTCTTTACTGGAGGTCTAAGTTTTAATTTTTTTTAAACTTTTATTAATATTATGTTTACAATAGTACAGATTTCAATAAAACTATTCCAATTCCCAGTTTAACTCTAATTTTTGGCTCACTAATGGCTTAACTATAAAAATTATTTTTTTGGTTAAAACTGAACCATTCATGATTCCAGTCGACAATTCAACTAGTTCAACTGTCCAATTCAATCCAGTTTTTTAAAACAATGCACAAATCATAGGCATATTTTTAAATAGCAACGTTGCTTTTAAATAATTTTACTAAAACTGTTTATTTATTTAATTTAATTTTTCCTTTTAATTTGTTATTCCTCCACTATCGCCTAATTTATTATTCATCATCTCTAACTTTGTCTCAGTGGATCACACATTTCAATTTATACTATTTTGAGACACTCAATTTGTCAATTAATTAGTTAACTAATAATAATAATAGTAACTATTAATCAAATTAATCATATCTATGTCAAATTAACATGTCTTTAAAACCTGGACAGGCCAGTTCATTAAACCAAGATTTGGCACTTGGTCCGTTCCAATACAACCCTTAGAACCAGATATGAGTGAACCGATCAACGGGGTAACCAATAAGAATTCATCTCAAAATAATTGAATTAATGTTTTTTTATAAAAAAAGAATTTTTTAAAAAAATAAAAAATACATTTTTAAATTATCCATATTCTTTGGCTTCAAGTTGCAATTTTCACGAGATTGTTTTTCATCCACATGCTTGGTACTTTCTCGCAAAAGGAATTTTGTTCGGCACAATGCAATATTCCCGCCGCCAAACAAAGAATGAAAACCATAAAATGAATGCTTTTGAAAGGAAGAGTCATGCAAAGGAACTTTAATTCTCAATTCGCATCGCTAAAATATGATTATTATTTTTCTACGTATTGGCAAAATATAACTTTTTATCATCAATATTCTGACGTGCTTGTGGCTGAATCAATCAATCAAATCTCCTCTGGCTATATCCAATTCACAATCATACAATGGAATTCGGAACCATCTGACCGCTCTTTATCCCAAATTATATTAGAATTTCAATTAAATATTATCAATGAGACTTAATCACTAGTAAATTTTAAAAAAAATTTAAAATTTCAATTCAATCTAAAAAAATTAAAGTAAAAATAATTTTAATAGTAAAAAGGTAAGACTACCTTTCACTTATTATGTAGAATTATTAGTTAATTTTCTTATTTTACTTATTAATTTATAAAACTTGTAAATTACATCATTTTATCAAACAAAGTAACATTAATTGTTAATTTATTAATTTTATTTATTAATTTATTAACGTTAATTGTAATTTACAACTGTTGTTATTGTTTACAATCAAACAAATGATGCAAAGTCTTATATAATTATTAACATGTAAATTCACATAATTTAAAACTCATTAATATATTAACAAGTAAAATAAAAAAAATTAACAACTAATAATTCTACATAACAAGTAAAAGGTAGTTTAATCTTTTTACTATTAAAATTATTTTCACTTTAATTCTTTCAGACCAAACTGAAATTTCAAAAAAAAATTAAAATCTACTAATAATTAAGTCTCATCAATGATCTTTAATTAAATTTTCTCTATATTCTAACTCTCAACCCTTGAACAGAACATAAACAATAAATTTTTTTTGTTTTTAATAAATCTTTGTTCATATGCCAAATTGATGAAATCAACCCCCTTTTAAGGTGGAAGAACTCGCAAAGGGGTTAACACAAGAACGCGGATAGAGACCCACTCAAAAACCAAGGCTCATTGCAGCAAAGCTCTTGGGAGCATGGAGGTCAAGGAAAAGGACACAACATTCCAAGCTACTCATGAAGTAAGTAGTGACACGATACTAGAATTGCTCAAAGACAAGTTAAGAAGTGGACAAAGCACGTTAAGAGCCAATAGGAGGAAGCTGAACTTGGGTGGATTAGACTGAAGATGGATGGATCAATTAACACTTACCCTACAATTGATGTGGAGAAAAATAGAGAGATAGGACAACCATGAAAACAAAAATCCTAAAAATAATTAACAAAATTGATAAATAAGCAAATTATCTACTTAAATTTTAAATCTAATAGCACCATAAATCAAAAACTCATTTATTATGTAATTTTTTTTAACTTTTAAAAATGATACAATTTAACTTGTCGCTAACCAAATTTAATTTTGAACATTGGTTGATCAAAAAATGTCAAAAATAAACATAAAAAATTATTAAAAAAAACCAAAAAATATCATAATAAAGGACCCAAAAAAATTCAAACAAGGACCAAAATTATTTTTGGCCTTTTTCCATACTTTTTGAACATTTTATATTATTTTTTATTAACAATCAAAGTTAACTTTTAATAATAGGACAAACCAAATTGTACCGTTATTAGAAGTTGAAAAAACTTGTACAATAAATGAATTTAAAATTTATAATGATTTAAAATTCAGAAAATAATTTGCTTATTGACCCAAAAAAATTACTAATTTTGAGAAAATCTCCCCTCAATTTCCTCATCATATTTTTACCCTATTTTTCTCTCCATCCAAATCAAGCCACAGAGTAAAGCCACACGTGAAGGCGAGACAAGAATGGTAGCTGGGGATGTGGCTTTAGGAAAAAATTGGGATTTTACCCAATTACTACTACGAAAATGATCTAGAAAATCTGAATGTTGCAGCTTTGCTGAAACGAAGGATACAAGAAGGTTCGAGTGTTCTCGAACTTCACAGAAGCACTTTATAACATCTCCGATTTTCATAATAGAAATCTTCCGGCTTCAACATGGCTGAAGAAATAAAATATCTGATCATGCAAAATTGGGAAGTCTCATGTGACCATATTAGCAAAGAAACAATTTATTATGCAAATTGGTTGGCGAAAGTAGCTCAAGATATGATTACAGAGGAAACAGTTGTTAAAGAGAGCCCCTCCTCAGTGTGAAGTTTATGCAGCTTGATTTTACTAGAGACATGTTTGCTCCTAAGGAATAATTTTTTCCCCTATTCCAACACACTGCCTTCCCTTGTATTAAAAAAAAAAAAAAGGCTCACTATCACCAGTTTGCAGTTAAGAACAACTCAAATATGTGAATGAAGGAAACAAAACGAGGGAACCAAAGTGGCCACTAGGAATCTAGGATGCAGAGCAATATGAATGAAATAGGAAACTATCACATACATACATGCACGCACCCACACACACACACACACACACATTTGGAGTTGTAAACTAAAATCAGAAAACGTAATATCATCAATATTCGCCTCACGAATCTAAATTCAAATGCAACGTAACTAGAAAAACAGAACACCAACCTTCTGTTCCATGTCACCCGTAGTGAAGAACATTCTTGCATGCGCTAGAGACCAGCCAGATTATTTATACAATAAAACCAGTGACAACAAAATTTCAGCCGTTAAAGAACTAAATTGCATAGACATGCTTACAAATTTGCATATCACTTGAGAGACATAAAGAAATGGAACAGACTCGCATAAAAAAGAATAAATATATTTCAAAATCTAAACCAACAAGAAATGCTGAGGTCAGTGTTTCAGTATCTATCTAACAAGAGCCATTGGATAATCCTTGTGTGGAGCTCCTTCCTAGACAAGGCCTTCATCAAATTCTGAACTTGTGTTATTGAAGGATTTCATCTTTTCTGTTCAGGTCTTCCATGTTAACGTTTGCCTCCAGTCCCATGTTTAGTAAATCAACCATGGAAAGAACATCAGATTTCAAAGAGGCTGCCAATGCCTAGCAGTCCGGTAGGAAAAAAAAAAAAAAAGAGCGTATAATCATATATTAGTTTCTTTGACATGGCGGAACCCAACAAATTCAGCAGTAAAAACTGGGGAGAATCAAATAATAATCTGGAAATATTTCCATTAGGAATTCCTAAATGGCAATTCTCCCTTTTCTTCCACAACCCAATAAGTTATACCTTTCGGTCCTCTTCTTTTTGGTGCTTTATAACTTCCAAAGGCCACTCAGATACAAGCTTCTGAAGTTCATCCTTCATGCCTGTCTTTTTAGCATCAGGCAAAGCCTGGCAAGCATAAACTCCAATAGTGTCAAAAGAAAGACAAGATATAAATAACCAGTTCCCTAACAATCTAATCAAACACAACCACCATCTTAGCAGAGCAAGCAAAACAAAAAATATATGAAGGAACAAAATTGACATCTCCAAAGTGACACCTCAGTTATAATGCGACAGCTCACACCTCAGACTAATTTCACCGATCCATTGTTATGATTTTATAATGATGACATTAGTTAGTTAGGGGATTTAGCTGTTATATAATCCTCACGTCTGAATGTATGGCATGATGACAGACTAATAAACTCAGAGTTCTTAGAATTCCTTTCCTCTCTAATATCTCTCAATCTCTTCTCCTTTGATCCTTCTGTTCTTCATGTTCTTCTCTCGATTTCCTCTCTATCTTCTTCTATGACTCTGAATCTTACAATAGTCTAAGAGTGGTATCAGAGCCAATCATCCTCGGCCATGGCACACCATTCATTCTAGGAATATGAGGATGACCACCAGATGTGGCTTCGTCAGCGGGCAAGCGTGAAAGAATTCAATGAATTCTTTGATAGCCACACCAGCAAATTAAAATTGGAAGAAAAATATTTGGTTTCTGCATATGTGGCTAGGCTCAAACCAAAACTTGTAGAACCAGTTTGTCTCTTCAAACCAAGAACGATGCAAGAAACTAGAAGTCTTGCAAGATTGCAAGAAATCTTGCAAGAAATCAAGCTAACACGTCAAGCAGAAACAGAAAAGGCACAGGCACTACAAGATAACTATGGGTCACAAGAGATTTTGGGGAACAATGAAGGAATTACCCCTCTACAAGATTGCAGGAATCAGCAAGCTAAGAATGGCATTAGAAATCATGAGGATCCTGCACCTAGGACAATTGATGTTGAAGTTGGGTCTTCCTTACCAGTGCAAGAACTGCAAGATAATGGCAATGATTTCAAGGTTTCTTTGTGTGAGTTGGAAAGTAAAGTAGGCTCAAACATCTCTAAACATGACTTCTTAAGCTCTTTCACTGTTGGTGTGGGTAAAACCGTCAGTCTTGACTTGAGTTTGGGTACCCAACACTGTTCGAAACATCAATGTTGCCCACCTGCAAAGCCATCGTCACCCTTTGTTCCAACTTTCTCTTCATCTCTATTTCTGATCAGCCTATCGTTACCCATTTATGTTTTTCTGCTGCCACCACAAGCTTCTCCATTGCTGTCTCTTGTTCCTAGGGTGTCATCGTTGCTGTCTTCTCTGGTTTCTCCATTGCAATCTGATTCTGTAACTTCAAATGCTTCATGGCTGTTTGCTCCATCATCACCACCCCCTTTTGTCTTCTTATCAACGTGTGTATGTCTTACCCATACCCATCTAAAGACTCTAGACTTCTCACGGCTACAAAACCTGGGTGAACTTTTTGCAACAGAGGGGGCATGTGAGAGTAAGCTTCAGTGGGTTTTTTTTTTTTTTTTTGGGGGGGGGGGGTTTGCACACATGGGTGCATGGGTCAAAGATAGCTACCTTTCATATCAAGTGGGATTAATTTTAGTGGATGGCAGCCAACACCGATAGTCAATACATGGGTTCAAGTTTCCAGAAAGAAAAAGGAACTACTCCGTGATTTTTCTGTTCAGAAGGTCATGTCGCTAGGTCCTAAAAAGTCAAGAGCTATTCTGCCATGTAGGTGGAAACCTCAGACGCATAAGCTGTACCTTTCATCCTTACTGAACCTGAACCAGCTTCTGAATTGATAATTGCATGGGCCAACATCACTCAAAGATGTTACAATCAGCCCATTGAAAAATCTGTCTTGTTGGGCTTTTCTTTGTCTTCAACTCTTCCCTACCCACTTGTTTGTTGTTCTATGGTACAGAGGAGGATTACTAAAAATGCTTTTGGGCTCAACTCATTATTTCCATTTATTCAGCACAGTGTACAGTAGCAGTGAACAGTGACAGAGAACAATGAACAGTAGCTTCTAAGAGTTTAATGTTTTTTTTCCCAATAGTTCAGCATGACCTTTGGGGGCAAAGGTCTTTTGGGAGGGGGGTATTGTTATGATTTTATAATGATGACATTAGTTAGTTAGGGGATTTAGCCGTTAGGTACTGTAGGTGTGTTAAGTAGCCGTTGGGTTCTGTTAATGGTTAAGTCCCTATATCTCTCTCTCTCTCTCTCTCTCTATATATATATATATATAATCCTCACGTCTGAATGCATGGCATGATGACAGACTAATAAACTCACAGTTCTTAGAATTCCTTTCCTCTCTAATACCTCTCAATCTCTTCCCCTTTGATCCTTCTGTTCTCCATGTTCTTCTCTCGATTTCCTCTCTATCTTCTTCTATGACTCTCTGAATCTGACAATAGTCTAAGATCCGTCAAGAATAATGGTATCATAAAATCCAAATTCCAAAAACACCTCTCCAAAAATAGCTGAAAAGAACAAAATTTCATCACCCATGTTGGTGCAGAATCAATTTAGTTTTTAGTTCCCTTTGAAAACATATTTGCGTTACACCTTGACATAAATTTTCTTTTATCTAAAGGATATTTTTCTAATTCTAGGACTATAATTCAGGGCATAGCCAAATTATTTTATCTATTCACTTTTTATTTCTAAATGCTATTGCAATTATTTGTTTCATTTTATCAGGTAAAATAACACATTGCAGGCACAAAAGAACATGCACAGCACCACACATACCTCATTTAAGGCCCGAATGACAGCTGCTGCTTCATCAGGTTTATGTTCCAACAGAAGACCCTGCACAGTCATAAACATAAAGTTGCTTCAAAGTGTAACATTGTTATGACTTATGACCCAACCTAAGTACCAAGCAACTGTAGGCAGTAGTTCTGGGCAACTTATGTGAAGAAAAGGTAAAATTTTATTAGACTGGCCACATTTTCCATAATTGAAAAAAGAAAAATTTCAAGATGAATTACACTCCTTTCCCCTGAAATCAAATCTTGTGATGCATTGATCTTCCCTACATCAAAATACCTGCCTATCTATTGTTTATAAAACATAAAAAGTATTAAACATGTATTTGACCAATATATAATAGTCAATTTTTGAATTTAGAATAAGCTGAATGTATAGTTTTTAAAAAACAAAATAAATACATTGGAATAAAAAATTCTCTTTTTTTCCTTTTTCATTTTAATGTACTTTCTCATAAAAGAAATGAATATTTTTCCCACGAGTATTTTATCATGTTTAACTTCAGAAGAATTGATGTACATTGTCACGATAAAGGAGAGCACCTTGTAATCTAAACATCTCTTCAGAGAGTAGAAGGCAAGTTTACTGTAAGTTATAGAAAATGTACACCTAGATTCTGTTCTAATGACTGCAGATTATGAAATTGATAGAAATAGAAGTAATAAGACCAAATTTCTGGTTATAATATCACTTAGGACCCAACATGATGAAATGCATTGTAAATACAGCAAATAAACTCAGTAACCAAAGTTCAATAAAACCACTAGCAATTCAGACAAAAACATAGATAAATTTCTACCTTGGCACATGACAAACCACTTGCCAGGGTATGCTTCTTCATTGACTCAGATCTCAGCTTCTCAATTTTCCACAATGATTCTGTGTCTCCTACAAATAAGCACATCAAAAGGTTCATAAACATTCATCATCAACAGCAACTGATGCAGCAAGCCCAAACAAACAGAATGGTGCAACCTTTCAATCATGCAGGTTTCCATGCATGCAGTTTCTCATAAAACAAGTATTCTTTGAAAAGAAGAGGTTTTTTAATTGTAGAACTTAAATAAAGAGCACAAGAGAGAACGAGCAAAAACGTATTTGACAGCAAGCAACACTTTTGCTGCTCCAGAACGTTGCTATGTATTCATGATATGGCTTTTGGGGCTTTGCCTATTTTTCTTCAAAGCAAGAAAAATCAACTTTGGCAATGTGGGAAAAAAGAGGCAGTTAAGAGAAACAGTGAAACAAAATAAAGCTCAACAGATGAATCAAATTCAACAAGATGCAATTTCAACTCAAACAGAAAAGAATCAACAGAAATGCTTTTAGATAAGCAAGCAACATAGAAAATCAAAAAGAAAAGTGAAAACATACCCACCTTTTCTTGCCGCAAATTCCATCCATGTGTCAAACGAGGTTTGTCGAAGTTTTACACCAGCCCTAACAAACCTCTTTGCATATTTATTAATCAACTCCCAATTATCTGTATTGTAACAAATGCTGCACATGGCCAAACCAGGTGCAGTATTAGGGCATATGCAAAACTTAATCTTTGCATATGAGAACTCTTACGCTGCTAAATAAAAGCATGAAACCACCAGAATCTCAATATACCTGAAAACTATATCTGCTGTGCCTGGTTGCAATGGTAGGTCATTGGTCTTTATAAGTTTCATCACTTCCATTAACAGTTTACTATCATTGTGATTCTTAGCATATGACTGCAATCAACTGCTGGTAATTTACGAGTTGCAAATCTGAGACAGAATGAAAACATTTAGAATTTCAGTATTTTAACAATACCAGCAAATGGTGAGCAGATGCAACGCTTGGAGTCAATCCATACAAATTATGCTTCCACAAGGTTTTCTTTCCTGCATAAACATTTAAGAAAATTCTTTTAAAATTTCATTGGATGTTTCTGTAACATGCAAATAATAGTTCATATCCATAACAAAGTAGCATGTATTAATTCATAAGAGAAAAATTATCCAACAGACAACTAATTAAGCAGTGTAGACGATAAAGCATGATTGGCAGAACAGAAGACCCAGAAAAAACAACAGGAACAGGTTCAGTATGCCCACCAAAGTCAAGAGCTCCTACTCTAGCACATGCTTTAGAAACTTCACGACAGAGGTTGTCATTGAAGTTTGCATGAATGCGAAGATTTGACAGCCTCTGCTTCCAAAACAGATTAAAATGATCACTATAGCAAAGAGAAGAAACAACTAATTTAATTTGAAGCAGACGATGCCAATGAAGAAAGAATAGAAACTAACAAATCTGCGAATGTTCTGCAAAATGTCAAACAGAAGTCTAATATCATCATGGTTCCCACACTTCTCAATCATTGACCACAACCAAGCATTTGGAGGCATTGATCGTTTAACATTTACAGATTCCAGCATTTTGTCATACAGTTCCTTCACGGCCTCTGCATTTAACACTGGAAATCAGGCATCCAAAAAGGACACTTAAAAAAAAAATCTTTAAAGGAATGATGTAAATTAAAATCAAGAACCTGTTGTATCCCCTTCATCAGTATTTGCTCTTGACGTAGAAAATGATTTTGACATCAAGAAGTGCATTGGCAATGATTCAGTTGTCAATGATTGAGTCGTCCCTGTGTCAATGAATCATTCAATTAAGTAAGTAGCAGAAAAAACTCAAATCAACAAAAAACTATAGAGTGAAGTATCAAAATTTTATACGGAAATCATAAGACATGGACGCCACCTGAGAACCAAGGGGCCTTTGAAGGCAAGCTTCTGGTGTTCCGCCATGAAGTGACCAAGTGAGGATCTCCGATGCTCTGAAGGTCAAAAGAAAGGAAATGATAGGAGTTGAGAAAAATCTGAGAATGCAATGCCTTAGAAAATCGGCGAGCATTCGAGAGAACTTGCATGGCTTAAAGGAACAAAGCTATACACTGAGTCAATTAAGTGTCGTTCGGGGCCAAGTCGAAGGGTTTACCAAGATGCCACGAGCTCTAGGGCATCAGATCAGGGTTTAGGGAGAGAAGAAAGAAGGGGGAGTTCCTCTGTAGCGCAGTCCGTGATGGTTAGGTGGACTCGCATTATTTATAAATATAATTAGGAAAGGGAAAATCACAAACAAAGACATCCGAAAATTGCAAATAACCATTGAGATCACGAAATTTTGAAATTAAATTTTAGGAATGTGATTGTTTATACTTTTATCCAAGAACAAGTTTTTGTGATGACTAAAATATCCTTGACTAACTAAAATTTTAAAATACATTAAATACATCTATGATATGTTTGAATGCACATGGATTTTGATTTGAATTTGGATTTGAATTAAATCCATTATTTGAGTAATTAAAAATGTATGGATTTAGGACTCAAATTCAAATCCTAAGTTTACTTTAATCTCTTTATAATTTAAAATCCTTTCTAAACCCCTATTATTTTAAATCTTAACTCAATTTTTTTTGTAATTTGACCTAAATTCATGAAGGCTCGATCAACCTGCCAATAGTAATTGGATCGGACTATTGAAGTTGACAGAAACAAGCTGCCACCATTAATCGAGGTGGGACTACTAACTTTCATTGGGGCTAAACCGATGGTAATGATTGAGACGAGATGGCCAAATTCCACCGAGACTAGACCGACGACAACGATCAGGACCAGACGTTGAATTGCATTGGGACTGGACCAAAGGCGACGACGAGGACCAAATGACTGACTTTCACTCAAATCAGACCAACAATGATGACGAGGACTGGACGGCTTCATTAGGACCAAATCAACAATGATGTCAAGATTGAAGGACCGACTTCCATCTAGATTGGATCGACGACGACCATCAAATGACCGACTTCCATATGAACTTGATCTACAGCAATGATGGGGACCTAACAATCACTTATCCCGTTCCTATCTTAATAAAAGTCGATCGTTATGTCCTAGTGAAAGTCAGTTGTCCTATCCTAATTGTCACCATGGGTTTAGTCTCAATGGTCACCATCGGTCTGGTCCCAATGGAAGTTGGCCGTTTAGTCTTAGTGGAAGTGGTTGTCCAATCCTCGCTGTCATCATTAGTCCAGTCCCGATAAAAGTTTGCTGTCCAATCCTCCTTCTCATTGTTGTTATCGGTTAGGTCTCGATGGAAGTTGATTGTCAAGTCCTTATCGTCGCCATTGGTGTGTTCCTACTGAAAGTCAACCGTCTGGTCCTCGTCATTGTCGTCGATCTAGACCCGATAGAAGTTGGCCGTCTGGTTCTTGTCAATGCGACAATTCGATCCCAATGAAAGTCAGGCGTCCCTTCCCTGTCGTCACTAGTGCCACAATCCTAATCGGCTTTGACTGTCTAATCTTGTTGGAAGTTGGTCATTCAGGTGGTTGAGTTTGATCAATCTTTCAAGTTTCTTTTAAATTCAAATATAGAATTTAAAATGTGAAATTTTACTTAAGATCCAAATAAAGAATTTTAATATTATAATTTAAAATTTTTTATATCATCCAAATAAAGAATTTAAAATCTATAAATTTCAAATATAAAATATTAAATTTAAAATTCTTACTTTAAATTCATCCATCCAAACACAACCTAAAAGAAGTTTCTCTATAGTGCAATCCTCGATTATTTGAATTTTTCATCTTATTTTGGAGGGACTTGGGGAGCAATGCCGCCCCCTTGCCCCCATAAATCATTGCCTTTTGGTGAAAATTACTTTTTTTTTTGTAAAATAGTTTAAATTAGATTTTGGCCCTCCATTTTTAATTTATTTTTAGTTTGGCCCCTCAATTACTGAGTTCTAAATTCATTCATGTTGGGGAGGGTTCTAACTATATAAGTGGGTGTACTGTACATCCCACCAAACTAGCCATTTGAAGAGAGAGTAATGGCCTTCTAGAAAAAGATATCAAAATCAAACCCAAATTTATTTAAATAATGGGCCCTCTGAGTAGGCAATTCGTGATGAGGGCGTCACATTGATTAGAGGGCTGATACATTCTACATTAGAGACACTTAAAAAAGATTTGACTATGTAAGTGGGTATAGGACACTCAACTGAGCTACCCTCCTGGGGGAGTGTAATGCCCTGACATGAAGTTAATCAATTTCTTTCCTCCTCTTCCACTTCTCATCCTTTCTTCTTTCTTTTCCTCTCTCCGTCCACCCTAGAAGCAATGTGATGGTTCAAGAAAGCGAGTCCAGAGCATCAAACCTTGAGAGCTAGGACTTCTTGATCAGTTGATGGAGAATAGGATGAGAGCAAGATAAGAAGGAAAAACCAGGGACGAGATTTGAGAAATTGTTAGTGCAGGAGAGAAAAGCAAAATCTTGAACCGTTAATTGATTAGGCAAAAATGATGACAATGTCACGACACAATTTTAGATCAAACAACTAGCTTCTGCTTCTTCCCCAGCCAAAGGTGAGGCCATGGCTCGTGGGTCTAGTCCCTTCGAGAAACAAGTGGTTTAGACTATAATGCAACCACCCAAGGCCAAACCCATCACGCCACTGCCTTCTCTTCTGACTTTTCCACCTGCACAGTTAAAAGCTAACTCTGCGGTTGAGCCTAAGATCCCAGACGAAGCAGAGCCTAAGAGTGTGATACTTCAGAAGACATTGAAAAGCCAAAGTAGAGGAGCATACATGGAGTTGATTCAATTGTCGAACCAACACGAATTCGGAGACCAACCTAATCATCTTTACAAAAGTGAGAAGGGCAAATCAGGGGGCTCGAGTAGCGATGCAAGTAATGTGAAGAAGAAGGAGAATAAGAACAACAGAAGAACAAAATCTTCGCATCCGATAGCTGCATTCATGAATAATAAGAGCATGCCTGTATAATTTGAGCAAGTATCTTGCTATTTTTCATTTGATACTGCGTATTTGTTTTTCTCGACGGAGACTAGCATGAGCCCTGTTCGTTGCACAGAGTTTAAAAAATAACTGTTTATGATTAAGTAGTACTTGTTGGAGTTTTCATATTATATGTGTAGATTGTGTTCATATCTTTGTCTTTTTGTCATTCTGCCTCATTTGAATTTTACTCACCAAAAGCTTGTTCTAGATTATTTTATGAAAGGATTGTAACCTTGTTTTGTTTGATGCTAAGAAAAAGTTTCATTTCTATAAATTGACCAAACTTATTGTTTTCCTTGTATAGTATCCGCTCTCGTATTGCGTCATGTTATTTTACTTGAATTCTTAAAATATAAGTCATGAAAAGATACTTTATTTCTAAGCTCCAACATAATGACTTGTCACTTTGTGATCAAGAGCACTTGGTGGCTTGGGCTTGGGAGGGATGTACTTCTCGTCATGCAATGTTCTTTTGTAATTCATAGGTTCTACCCCTCTCTCGCTGATATTACTAATGCTAATTTTATTTGTGTGCTGCAAAAATTTAGGGGGATGGATGATGCTATGGGTGAAGATTTTAAAGATAGTGATGATGAAGGTAACTGTTACACAATGCTTGAAGGCAACAAAATATTTTGTTAAACAATGCTCGAACATTTTGCAAACATTATTTGCCAATCCATTCCTTCTGATTAATTAACTTATAATATTTTGCAGCTAAGACTCTAGAGCTGTTTTTGCAAGATCTATGTGATTGTACCTATGAAATAACTCTTCAGTGAGGAGCAAAGATGATGAATGCATTGCATTTGTAAATTGTTCTGCCATTATGTAAGTCATAGAAAATGTGAAGACAAGTGGGACAGATTGGGAATCTTGCAAATAAGGTAGAGATTGCATGAATTTAATTTCTTCATTGGCCATTACTGCTTCAATTACTTTTGTTCTACACTCTTTTTCTTCTGGTCATTGCTATTGCCTTTCTTATAAATTCATTTTCTATTTGCAGAAGTTAATTTAAGAAACTTGAAAATTATTTTCCTAGATTTTCTTAGGTATAATAACAATAATTTGATAATTGTTAATGTACTTTCTCAACTGTTTACATATTCTTTATTACATGTTTTCCATTTTTATTGTGTTGAAAAACTTGGATGATCTAAGCATGCTGCTATTCATCACAGTTGCCTCATTCCTCTTTGACATAAAACTCAATTATATTTTTGTTAAGTTCTAAAAACATTCTTTCATCTGCGCCAAGCTTTTCAAAAAGCCTTTTGTTGGGTTGTTTCTTTTGCTCTGTGAAGTTTCCTTGAAAATGTTGAAGTTGAGATGAAATTTGTTGGAAAATGTTGATAAGTGTTTACTAAGTAAAATGTAATTTTAAGGGATTGATAGTCCATTATTATCCAGGAATCTTGAAGTTTATTATTGTCCTAGAGTCCTATGGTTATCCTTTAGTGTTATTTTTACTCTAATGTTAAGAACTATAGGACTGCGAAAATTGCCTCCCAATTTTTTTCTTGTTAACTCAGCTATCTCAGTTCTTGCTTCTGAGCCTCGATAAGTCTCCTCTTGCACATTATATCTCTGTCTAATAAGTTGTGTCATTGATCCAATAACGATGCTGACATGGATGCTAATGAAGAGGTAGAACAATGGTAAGTGTATTCTAATGGATTTTGATGAGGGTGGAAAAAGAGAATTGAAGTGAAGAAACCCACATTTGAAGCTGCGTGACTCTTGTGTTACAGACCATTATTGGTTTTGGTAATGCCTTTGATGGCCTCTCACCTCGTTATCAGCTCATGTTGTTCCCATTGTCGCTGCATGTTTGTACGTGTGTGTGGGGTTTGTACCATCTCAAGTTGTTCACAATAAGGTGAACAGTTTTTGTGCTAGTTTGAGTAATGCATTTTCCCTTTTTTATCCATCAACAACAAAAATACTTCTGTGTCATCTTTCCAGATAAATGACTGCTCAAAACAAAATGGTTTCCTAGCACAAGCTGTCTCTTGGTCAGCTTTCCTTGAGATATATGGTTTTTGTTTTCGTGTGGCCATGGAGATATATGAAAAATGATAACTTGATATTAGATTCTTACTCAAGTTATCATTTTCCTTTGTATGGTTGTAAATGTGTAAAATTTGAGACTCGAAAGTTTTTTCCATATTTCATGAGATCTCTTGCTAATTAAATTTGTTCTGTGGCATCTAGGTATGATTTTCCCTTTTGTTTTTGTTTTTGTTTGTGTGACCAACTGACCATAGAGATGTATGGTTTTTTAATCTGTAAATCGTAAGTATGATGGAACATATGATGAAAGGGCTTATCTATTTTCTCTATGAAGAAATTTGAGGCTCTAATTGTTGAGTCCTGTGACATTTTATTGAACCGGTGTTGCCCAATTGCTGTAGTTATTTTTTGGGATTTCTTTTCTTCTTGTTTAATCCAGCTATTGATTAACTTATTTTGTATTCGATACTAATTGGAAATCAAAAGGCTTTTATCCTTCTTATTTAGCAAAGGATAAATGAGTAAATTATCTTCTAAACTTTAGTCAAGTAGTATCATAAACCTTGAACTCATTTATTGATACAAATATTTTATCAATTTTTGAAAATAATGCAATTTAGCTCTTTGCTATTATCAAAAGTTAACTTTAATCGTTAGTTGATTAGAAAATAATAAAAAAAGACTTAAAAAATTACAGAAAAGGACAAAAAATTACAATAAAAAACCCAAATATATATAGACAAGGACTCAAAAAATTATAAATAAAAAGATAAATTTTTTTCATTTTTTTGTAATTTTTTAATGTTTTTTTTATTATTTTTTAATCAACTAACAGTTAAAATTAACTTTTTTTAACAATAAGGATTAAATTGTATTGTTTTTAAAGTGGAAAAAATAACTTGCACGATAAATAAATTCAAGGTTTATGATGCTATTAAAATTAAAGTTTATAAAATAATTTACTCATTTTGCCCTTTAATAAATAAACTCCCGTGGTCTATAAAATATAAGAAGCAATAAGTTGTAGTATTTATAATTTATGTAACGGAAGAATATTTTTGGGCTCTATATTTTACTGTTCTATTTATCAATCTACCTTTAAGTAAACATGCACGGTTGGTGTGGTTAAAGCTGATTCAGCAAAGTCAAAGAATTGTGGAAAAAGAAGAGGGAATCATTTATTGATTTTACTCGAAGTGACCCATTGTTCTTCTGTCAATGTACATCAATTATTCATTAAAAAAACACATCAAGAACTGAAATCCACAGCCTATATATTCTGATCTTTTACTTTCCTTGTCCATAAACTAGGCATATAAGAAAAACTAAGAGCATGGGTTGATTATTTGTTTTCAGAACAGTTTAAAAAATGTGAAAAAACTTTTTTTTTTGTGCGATACAAGGCAAGAAAAGCTTGAACAAAACGATATGAAAATAATTTGTTTGAAAATGTGATTTCTGTTATCTGTTCTAAGAAACAATAAAAAAAATCTTTTTGGTGTTTTGTTATTTTTTTATCAATAACAATTATGTTAATAAAATATTTTAGGTATTTTGTTATTTTTTATCAATAAAAATTATGTTAATAAGATAAATTATTCTTTTACATTTTATTTCACCAATTTAGATATGTTTTTTAAAATAATAACGATTCAAACAGATTTTCTATTTTTTCAATTTTTTTTGAAAAACTAAAATTGTTTTAATAATATGAAAACAGAATAACAAGCCCTTTAACTTAGATTCTCCCTATGTTGGTGTACATATTTGATCTCTACGGTCTACCTCAAATTTGATGATTTAAAAGAAAAATAGGTTTAGCTCATTCAAATATATCAACAATTTATATTGGCCGAGGGAATTAAATTAGCTTATTTTAAAAGCTTAGTTTTGAGTGTTAAAATCTGCAATGATTTTAAGTAAAAATATTAAAGAAATTTTTGAAATCCTCAAGGGGTCATTGTTGATAAAAATGATCACATATAGCAAGAGTTCATATTAGTCTTGAGAAAAGGTGATAAAACTCCCGCAGTTCTTAGGATGCGTGCGGTGGAATCAACTACTTGATTAGATATGGATTATGTTATATAAATATCTATATAATCTATTTATAAGCATAGTGGACATGATGCCCCCCAGAGAAAAAGCAGTAAAAGGAAAGTGAGAAAAGGGTGAAAGTGGAGATAAAGAGGAACTTGATTGATAACTACATACATATCCAAATATATATGCCTCATTGGTATCCATCCTTTACACTCAAAACATATAAAAAGATTAGATACTTTTTTTTTAAGTCTTGTACAGAATTTGAGAAATAAACTATAGCATTGATATTTTATAAATAGTAATGCTTGTTATAATTTTAATGTTATATATTCATTATTCTTTTGAACATAGTGTTCCACCTAAATACTCCCTTCACTCTTTATTATAAAACACTTTCAACCTTTCACACATTGTAAGAAAAATTAATTTTTTTAATATCATAAAAAAAGTGAGATATACTTTTATTCTTACCTTTAGTTTTGAATAATAATACAATTATATTAAATCTCTTCACACTAATTAAGAAGAATAATTTTAAAAAAAATAATTTAATTATTATAAAGTATTTTATATTTTAAATTATAAATTATTTTTAAAAATTGTTTTATAGATGTTGCTGAAGGAATGCTATCTATATTATAAATCCACAAACAGTGAATATTGTGTGTGTGTGTGGAGAGAGAGCGCGCTTTGCTCTCAACCGACATGATTCTCAATCAACTCAATCATTATATCTAACTATTCATATTAATTTAGACAATTCATATTTTAAATTTGTAATTTTTGACATGTAGATTTTTTTTTTCCTCTTTTGAGAGTTTGAAAATGAAGGATTATTTTGATTAAGCATCCTAACAACTTTTTTTAAAAAAATTAATACTCAAATTGTTTCAATTAAATCTAAAAATTGCAAATTTTATGAAGAAGTTAGAGCTTTATCCAATAAAAGGATCTAATTTCAAAAAGTAGAATTGAGAAAGATGCATTAATTAAGTTCTTTGTATTTTTTTCTCTGAGATCAACTCAAAAAACTATAACACATGAACCGTATACTAATTAACCAACAACTTTGTAGCAAACGACTAAAGTCTGTACATACTTTCTTAATTTCACCAGGAAATTATTCTCTAACATAGTTCCCCCCCCCCTTTCTACATCAAAATTGCAAACCTCATACTATCACTCACAATCATCTGATTCATATCAGAAAAACGTTCATAATCCCCAGATCCCCAAAACCCATCATTAATCCCTCTCCCACTGGCTCCATGATTATAATAATCACCATTATTAGAAGAAACACATAAGATTACAGACATAGGAGCAAGAAGAATACTATGTATCAGAGATAATCCTTGTCTTCTTGATCTTGTTCTTGTTCTTCTTCCTTCTTCTTCAGCTCTATCACCAGTGTTTCCTCCTTCTGCTGCAATCATGTTCTCATCTGCAACCCTAGAACTCTTCTTCATGTTCTCCAAGTTCCTTGCCACAGCAGCAAAAAGGCGCCACATCATATATCGTTCGACAATTATATATCTTTGTTGTCTGATCTTTTTGCTTTGGAAGGAAGCTAGAAGTTCAAAATGAAGAGAGTGGTTTTGTGATCAGTTTTCTATGAAGGAGGGTTGTGAAGTGATGAGTGATGAGTGATGAGTGATCAGATAGCTTAAGAGAAAAAGAAAGAGCTTGAAGGGGTTTCAATAATGGTTTCTTCAGCGGTGGATGGTGGTGTTGATGTACTTTTTTGTTGCTGGCTAGTGCTTGTATTTATCCCAAAAGCTTAATGGCTGCTATATAGTTTTTTAAGAAACATCAATAAATATATCTAGGGAAAATTATAATAGAGGACCATTCCAAAGGAATATTTCCCTTGAAGTCACATCAACATATTAATTTTTGTTGAATATAAATGTTTTAATTAGTTACTAAGAAATCCCTGAAAAGACTAAAAGTTAAAGTTATAGGAAAAAGAGAAAAATAATTAATCTAAAGTTCTTACAGTTTTTATATTTCTTAATTTTGAGTTAGTCCCTTGTAATTTATCTTGTTTTAATCCAACTTTTATAATTTGATCAGTTAGATTTTGTTAAACCCTAAAGCTTAAAATTCATAAATTTTTTAAAAATAAGATTAATAAATTTTATATTTTATTAAAAGATTATATAACTTTAGTATTAATTCCATAATTTTTAAAACTAACACATATAAAATTTTCATCCAAAATTTAATAAAAAAATTTTTGGACAAAAATATTAAGTCAAATTTCTATAAACTTTAAAAGCATTTTTGTGGACAAAAATTTATCATTCACTAACAATTTTAATCTTCAGGGATTAGCATATTTAATGAATCAAAAATTCAAATCTACAAGAATTTTATTAAAATAAAATAAATTATAAGGATTTAGTTTAAAATTAATAAGAACCATGAGGATCTACAAATTAATTTTCTATAAAAAAAATATTAGCCTATAATTAAAACAAAGAAACTCTCTTGAAAAATAAAAAGAAAAATAACTCTCTTTAAATAAATATTCTATTACTTTGGTCCTTTAATGTAATTTGTGCGCATATGTATAGAGAGAGAGGGGGGGGATTATACGTCCTAACACATAGTAGCATCTAATTATTCTTTTTCTTCTTTGTACAGAAAAAGAGGGTGGGGCCTACATCTGTCCCAACTTGCCAACAAAGGTGCTTTATTATCGTAGGGAAAGACTCGTCTTCATCCCCCCTTTTGAAAAATTAGGGTTTCACTTTTGTCGTTTTACGACGTTGTGACAAAAGTCATATAAAATAAAATACACGTCCGATTAATTAAATTTTATTTTTAATAAATAATTACTTATTTTTAAATTAATTTTATTTTTTATATTTATTTTATTAAATATCTTACAATAAATTTAAAGTTATTATTAATTAAAATATTTTTAAAAAATAATAATTATATTTAAAAAATTAAAAATATTTTTTATTTTTTAATATTTAATTTTTTAAAAAATATTTTATAATTTTAAATGGATGGAGTTTGTAAATATGTTGCCTCCGTAAATATACAGATTCTGATATCAGAAAATTAAACAAAGAGAGACTTGATATGACATGAACTAATTTAGACCTTCTGTTATATTCAGGGTTCACAATGACAGTTGATTTGATCAAGTACCTATTGTCTGTTTCTTGTTAATTATTAGAGAAAGTTGACCTACAATTCGATATAGTTTTACTTAATTTTGAATTAAATCTATATAATTGAATTAATTAAATATGTTAATCTTTGATTATTAAAATCCTTTAATTTTTTTTAAAAATGAAATGAAGGACTTTTATATGTTTATTAAAAGGTTATATATTTTAGAATCTATTACATAATTTTTATAACTGAAAATTTATATAATTAGGTTATGTTTTCTAAATATATATTGTATTAAATAATTTTTTTGGCTAAAGTATTATACCAATTTTTCTATGAATTTTAAAAGTGCTTTAATTTGAAAAATTCAATCATTTCTTAATGACTTTAATTTTTAGTGAATAACATATTTAATCAATCAAAATATAAAATTTTAATTAAAATAAAATAAACTATATAGACCTAATTTAAAATTAAAAAAATAGAAGGATCTATTGACTAATTTTTCCTAATTATTATTATGAGCTTAAAAGATTACTTAATTAGTTTTAACCATTCTTAGTTAATTCATGCAGTTTTTTTTCTTGGGAGAATGACAAGTAAGAACCCTTAAAAAATATTAATAATTTTTTACAACTGAAATATCAAGAATTTACAATTGAAATATCGAGAATTTACAATTTAAATATTTTTATTTTTACATTAATTTTCTAGCTGGATTTTCAATTGACATTTGCCATTTTTTTCTTAAAATTGAAAGAAATAAGCATACTCTTTCCTAGCTGGATTTTCAATTGACATTTGCCATTTTTTTCTTAAAATTGAAAGAAATAAGCATACTCAGAGAAAGAATATTGTAGAACGGCAGAAAGAAAAAGAGAGGAGGAGAGACAAGAAAGATGAAGAGAGAGAAGAAATGCTCTAGCTTGTGTCGTCTTCATTCATTCTTTGAGAATTTATTGAAATTAATGAATACCAAATCAATGTGTAATTATTGCAATAAAAATGATAGGTCAACCTCAACAAAATAAAAAAATTACAACAGATTATAAATCATAAATCAATCATAACTTGATCGTATTTAATTACATTAACACATTAAATAAATTCGGATTGGATGGTTTGCACAATTATATATATATATATATATATTCAATTCACAAACATTTGAGTTGAAGTAATGAGCAGTTGAGTTTTATGTCTGATATGCTCATAAATAAAATGAAAATGAAAACGGAACTAAAAATAATTTTATAAGTAAAAATATCTTTGGTGCCTTTTTTGGGACCCCTTTTGTGCACTTACTTTAAGCAAAATAAAAACAACAAGAGACAGAACATGTTGAGTAATTATTATAATCTATAAGGGTGTAATGTATCCCAGCCTATGCTTCACTCTCATCCTTGTCATCCCTATTATTTACTATATTTTAACCAAATATATTTTTCCTAGAGGAAGTGTAATGTAATATATATATGCCACATTATTTATATTCCTTTCATTCAAAAATATATAATATTTTTAATCAAATCTTACCTCTTAATAAAATAAATTACTTACTTTTCAATTAACCTTATCTTTTTATATTTATCTTTATTAAACATTCTATAATAAATATGAAATCATTATTAATAAGAGCACTTAAAACAAAATAATGATTTCACCTCAAAAGACTAAAAATGCCTTATATTTTTTAAACATCTAACTCCTTAAAAATATTTTATATTTTTAAACGGAAGTAATAGATTACAAGTAATGTTGTTTGTCGTCAATCTAGTTCCAATCCCATTTGTTACATATAATTAAAAAAATATGACATGTTTTTTCATAAATTGATTAATATATTAATATTAATTAACATTAGTAATTGATATTAATTAGAATAAAATATTGTGACTTCCCTTTCATTTTATTATAATTATAGAAACAATTCTTTTATTTTCAAAAATTACATTTTAGTCCACATTAACATAATTTGAAATATTCTGTTAAAAAATTTAAAATATTTATTTTTTATTTATAATTTAGTTAAATGTAAATTTATCCATAAATTATAGATTCAAGAAAGCTCTTTTTACAGAAATCTAAATTATCTTTCTAACATTAAGAGGATTAAATTTTAACTTTAAAGAAAACAAGTTGTAACTTTAATTAAAACCTACTTTTACTTTTATTGTCCTCGGAAAATAAGTTCATGTTTAACTAGAACCTCTAGTTAATATTGGTACTTGTTAAAGTTACAACTTATATTTTCTTTAAGGTTAAAATTTAATCTATTAACAGAAATTGGATTAAAGAGTTTGTCATTTACAACGTGACTAACTATTTGAATTCCAACTATGAAATGTACCCACATTTAATAAAATTATACCTTCCCCTTCTCACACAAACACTAGATTGTTTGGAAGAAAAACATTTTTCTTGTATAAATTATTATTATAGAAATTGAGTAATTACTTTAATAGATTTATTTTTATTATTTAATTTGCATATATTATTGATTATATTGATTTCAGTACATCAAGCATGTAATTTTTTAGAGTTTCTTTCAAATGTATAAATTAAATATAGGACTTAATTTTAAAATTTTTAAAATATAACATAATTTTAAATGATTCTTATCTTAAGATTTTCTTTCCATATTGTAAAAAATTTAAATTAAATTTTATTTTAAATATTAAAGAATAAATCATCAATATAAAAACATAACTTTTATTTAACCTTGGCCCCTCACGTTCATCCTGTTTTGGTTCTGCCCCAGTTTAATGTTGGATTGTACTTTAAATATAATTATTTTTAATAAGAGAATATCTGTAATAGTATAAAAAAACCCCTCTAGTTATTGCTGAATATAAATAAATTGTATAGTTACTTAACTTCGCCCCTTGATTAGCTTTCTGATTTGTCTGGTTTGAATTTTTTCAAAAGAAAGACGGAATTTTCCAAGGACCAACTTTACAGTTCATATGGGTACAAAGTTGTGAGGGTCCCAACAAGCACAAGAAGGTCAAAGCAAAAAGAAGAGATGCAGGTCTGGTCAGAGACTATATGGGTCACTCAATTGAACCCTATTTGGGTGACTAATCAATTTGATTAGTAATTTCATCACAGAATCATAATCTTGAGATAATCAATCTATCTTTATTCTGACATTGCATCTGTACGTTGATTTTGGATTAGCCTGTATTGTCACATAAAGATATTAGGGAAATGACAATTCCTGATTTTGTGATTGTATTGATGAGATACATAATTGAAGATTTTGAATTATTGAAATGTGAATGAAAGATCTTGGTTTTATTTTTAACTAAAAATAAATATTTTTGTAATAGTTTAATAAAAAATTACATGAATTTAAAGAATGTCATATGTAAGAATC